AAAAGAAAAATCAATCCTTCATGTACGAACCCGCGCTGAGTCAACCTTCTCCTCCCCACTGGGTGGCATGAATCCCCAGCCAGGGCTCTTCTGCCGCCGGCCCTTCCGGTCGCCGTATTGTTCGTCGAACTTGCGGATCGCCGACAGCGAAGACATGTCTTCGCTAATAGACGCACTGATTTCTTCCATGCCCCTCTCAAAATGCTCCCGGGTCAATGTCCGCCGTTCCGGGTAGCTGTATGGCTCATTGCCCTGGTGCTGCGCCGCGGCGTCGTTCTCCTCCCGAACGCAGGCCAGCGCCGCCGCCACTGACAGATTCTTCAAGTCGGAACCAGAATAAAGAGGTGTGCGACGGGCCAGCTCAGCAAGATCCACCGAGGGATCAATCTGTTCCTCCTTCAGATGAATCTTCAGGATGGCAAGGCGGTCTTCTTCTGTCGGCAGGTCCACCAGGAGTCGACGCGGGAGACGACGGAGCACAGCATCATCCAGATCAAAAGGACGGTTGGTGGCGACCATAATAAAGGCTGAAAGGTCGTTCATGCCGTCCCACTCGCGCAAGAACTGGTTGATCAGCTCGCGGTGGGATGTGCGGCTGCTGGCTCCGGTGCGCGAGCAGAAGATGGCATCTGCCTCATCAATAAAGACCACGCATGGGCTCAGCTTCTTGGCGAGGGTGAAGATAGCCTTGACGTTCTTCTCGCCTTCTCCAACATACATGTCGTATACTTCAGAGCCGCTGACCTCGAGGACCGTGGCTCCGCTTTCTCGCGCAACAGCCTTGGCGAGAAGCGTCTTACCGGTACCGGGTGGACCGTAGAGGAGAAGGCCGGGGATTTTGTCGGTTGCCAGGACGCCATAGGTGAAGGCCTCCGGTCGAATCAGGGAGAGAGAGGTCAGCGTTTTGAGGGCGTCGATGATTTCCGAGGGCACATGGACATCCTCGAATGTGGTGCGGATGCTCTTCGCATCAACCACGCCATTGAGCAACTTCTTCTCGTGCGTATTGCATGTTTTGCGCAATGAGCTCAACAATTGCTCGCGGGTCTGTGCAGCCCCGGACTCCTTCGACTTGGGAGACTTTTCTTGCAACCACTCCTTCGTGATTTGGTCACCTTTATTCATGAGCTCAATGCCCCTTGAGATATGCTGGAAACCAAATTTCTCGTTGGCCTCCACGCAGCCCAGAGCAAGATTTGCGATCCAATGTACTTGACTATAGGTCCAGTAGCGGTCCTCAAGGCCAGATTCGTTGATCGTCGATGCATCCAGCGGCCAGACACGGTCGCCAAAGACATCGTCTTCTACAGGCGAATCCTGTTCATTGAGCCGGAACCGCAGCATGCTCTGTAGATGACGGATGTTGATGTCTCTTGTGCGCTTCTTCTGGTCCTCCATGAAAGTTTTCTCGGCAGCCTTTGCACCCATGGCAGGAGTGATGAGCAGAGGCCTTGAGGAATGATCTTCAAAAAGAAAAGGTTGGGGTTCTTCAGAGACAGTTCCAATCAGCAGAATTTTTGAACCTGCTTCTCTCCGATCTTGGATGGCTTTTTTTAGCAGTGAGATAAACTTGGCACCTTCCTCGGTGCCTTGGATATCACGGTAATCTTGTACATGAACAATGAGGTCGCGAGATGGCAAAGGCGTTGCATCCCCTGCTGGTGGCTCTGTCTCTTGCTCGCTGGAAGAAGGAGGCTGAGATCGGCCCGAAGATGAAAGGAGCTCGTTGAGCAGTCGTGACCAGCGATGCTCAATGCGTTGGCCTGCCTGGCGAGACATTGCCTGACCCGGTTCTTGGTCTGAAGCGCCATTCATGGATGGTGCCATGAGCGACTTCAGACCGAAGAGGGACGGGAGCCGAATATCGCCCGATCCCCGGCCCTCGATTGTGATAATTCGGGGCGTGTTTATGGCCGCACTGATGTCTCGGGGAAGACCGGATGATTCGCTCATGTCCTCCTCGTCATCTACCTCCGTGCTCTCGTGTTCCGGACGACCTGGGCCGAATGCAGGCCGGTACACGTCGTATCCAAGAGACCGAATAGGCGATGTCATGCCGAGTTCTGCAAGGTCTTGCTCGCTGAAAAGCTGGGCAATATCCTGGGCATTGAGCGTCACCAGGTCGGTACTCAGCTCGTGGGCGAGCCTTTTCACCACCGCATCCAAGAACAAGATTCCATCTGATCCCGGGTATTGAAGAACAAGGTGGGACCGGTTTGCCGATGGTTCTTTGGCATATTTGGCTGGCGGTAGTTGCAGGCCCGCTTTGACAGAAGCCCGAAGTCCCTCCCAAGAGCTCTCAGCCACCGCGTAGCGATTGTCTGATGTTGGAGGATCGGGCGAAGAAGGATCTCCTCGATCGCCCCCAGAGGTCTGGCTTCCCGCTGTATCTCCAGCGTCCGCTTCTGATTTGGCTATTCTAACCTGATGTCGTGATTGCGCAGCCGCAGGGTGGTGGGTGTTGTATGTCACCGTATTGCGCTCATGAAACCAGTTGGGGACGGAAGCGACCGGCGGGGAGTATTGGCGAGTTGACTTCCTATTCCGCATTGCCCTGCGCACAGCAGACCCGTATGGCCTCGAACCCAACCTAATTGACTGCTCAGCGGATGGTGGTACCGCTAGCGGCGCATCGTTCAAGATGTCGCCCTCGGAATTGGGTGATGGGCCCTCCTCCGAGGGGTTCTCGGGGACTGCTGACCCATCATCATGAGACCCTGGTGGTGGTGGCGGCGACGAGAGAGATTTTCGAGACTGGTGGAATTGACGCGAGGGTGCAGACAGAAGCGCGGGATAACGGCGACGGGCGACGAAGCGACACGGGCGTGGGAGGACCAGCAGCCGGGTCTGTTGCATTGACCGATACATCCGGGGTCAGCAATGCCACCGGAATCAGGGGGTGAAGTCGCGGAGATCGATGAGGCGCATCGGCCGCGAGGGACTCAGGAGTGAGGAACTGAAGGTCGACCGCTTTCTCCTGCAGAGAAATCCATATATCACGTGATATGTCTCACGGAGAGATGGAGGTGGTCCTTCATGGAGATTATTCTCGAACAGATGGCAAGTAGCATATTCCGCGGATAATCATGTGTATCCTCGTCGGTGTCGTCAGGAAGTTCTGACTAAGTTGCATGACAGCGGCCCGTCCTCCGGCGATCTTCGTCCAGGATTAGAAGGTTTACGCAGCTTGGCCAACTTAATTAAGAACAGGAGGGAAAAAAAAAATTCGAATGAGAGATTAATTGTGCACTAAGTCAACTACATATGTATCCCACACATAACAACCACCATCCAGCAAATTGGCGACCTAGAGACAGCGAGATCAGCAGACGTTCACCTCGAATGTGGCATAGAATCAGAATGCATGCAAGCGCTGGCAAATGAGTTCTCAGACAACATGTACTGGCAAGTAGCAGACCAACCGGCGAAGGAAGGTCCGAATTCTCTCGTCATGGTCGACTTGGAAGGTAAAGAAGTAAAAAAGGGTTGTCATCCTCGAACAGCGACTCCGAAACAAACAAAGCGTTGGGACTTACCGACAAACGGTGAGCTGTCAGGGCGGCCTGACCTGGGTGTTAGTGGTGGCTCGAAGCATGATGGTAGGATATCATGACACCATTCAGTCATATCTTCATCAGACCAACCAGTCAATGCCCGCTCTCGAGGGAGAGGGGATGAAAGAAAGGAGAGAAAGAAAGCGAAAGCGAAAAGGAAGAAAAAGCCCAAGCAGAGTCTGTCTCGAGTCACGTGGTCTATCACGTGATCCACCGGGACTAGTGCCGCATAGATTGGAATCGGCGGAGGAAAAGGGATCAGAAAGCCTCACAGACTGGGAGTGTGAGTGATTATTTATCTCGACTGGAGATCTATATCTCTATCCCTGATCGATTCGATTATTGTGGTGGTGTCCTGCTCCCTCGATTCGTTCTCTCCACGGCTCCCGGGTCCCCCAGTCTCGCTCTTTCGCTCCCACCGGGGCGATCATCCTTCCTCCCAGGCCGATCGCGACTCTCTCTCTCTCTCTCTCTCTCCTCTCTTTCTTTCTTTCCCTCGTCCCCGAATCCCATTCCCACTCGACTCTTTCGACTCGTCATTTTCACTCGAAGAGTGGTGAGTATCTAACCCAGTCCTCCCGCGTCCTCCCCAGCCCCTCCACTGTCTTTCCCCTAACATCCGCCCCGTTCTGGCTTCTTTCCCCCCGAGAGCCAACTCCCTCTTATCTCTCTCACCTCCTCCCCACTGACTCTTCCCCCAACCCCCCAGGAGTCGGAAAAAAGTCCTCGCCTTCATCGAGGTGAGAGGGTCAGAGTGACTAGGACAGGCTGAGGCCCGATCGATGCTTCAGCCTTCGCGTCTACTCCCGGCCTGAGTCGCTCTGCCTGTGTCTTGGCCCTCCGCCCCGACGCTAAAAGCGGTTGTCTTCCCACCCCGGGCGCGTTCGCGAGGTTCCACATCTCGTCGCTCCCCATCGCCAACGCGATTTTCTAGAAGTCTCCCCACGGCGGTGACTTCGTCGCTCAGCAATGATGATGGCGCAACCGTTTCCCGCCCACCAAGGCATGCCGCAGCACGGGTTGCCCCCAGGTCATCCAATGGCTGCGCAACACCCCAACGCCGGACACCCCGGGCCTGGAATGGTGCAACAGATGCATCCTGGTGTGTCCGGCCCGGGCGGCCCTCAGGTTAGCCAGGCGGGCCCTATGATGGGTGGAATGCCTACGGGCGGCACCGCTGGCGGCCCCGTGCCCAACGCTCACGCTCTCTCCCATCTGAACCCCGCGCAAGCGCATTTGTTCCAGCAGCAGGGCTTCCCCCAAAATTGTGAGTTCTTGCCCATCGGTCGCATTCTGCATCGCTAGTGCGGCCGGCTGTCGCTGCCATCGCTTTCTTGTTCCCTCCTCGCCCCCCGTAATCTCGTCCGATCGCATCCTAACTACTCGTCTCAATCTTCAGTTGCAAATAACCCGCAGTTGCTACAACAGCACCAACAGCAGCAGTTCATGCGCCAACGTTTGATGTACCAGCAGCAACAGCAACAACAACAGCAGCAGCAGCAGCAGCAACAACAGGGACATGGCGGTCTACCAAATGGTACCCAGGGTCTCACCGCAGCTCAAATGGCTGCGATGCAGCAAAATCCGGGAATGCGGCCCATGAATATGATGCACATGCAGCAGCAGATGCCTCATGGACAGCCGCAGAACATCCAGCAGCAACAGCAGCTTTTTGCGATCCAGCAGGCGCAGGCCCAGCAAGCCCACCAAGCACACCAAGCCCAGCAGGCCCAGCAAGCCCAGCAGGGTAACCAGCCCGGCCGGAACACGCCACAGCAGCGTGGCTCGGCACAACCCCCGAACATGCACGAGGGACAAGTCGGCACCCCTCAATCACAGCATGGCATGCCACCGAACAGCGGCACTCCTCAGCCACACCAAACTCCTCAACCGTCCTCTAGCCAACCACCCCCGCAGTCGGCGGGAGGGCCTCCACAGGCCCAGGCCACTCCGAACCCGCCGGCGCAACAGCTGCCCACGTCCCAGCCAGGGCAGCCGCAGCCTGGCGCGCAGCAACAGCCCCAGCAAGGTGCCCAGGGCCAGCAGGTCCAGCACTCGGGCCCGCCGAATCAGCAAGCGATGACTGCACAGGAGGCCCAATTGAAGGCGCAGCAACACCAAAACGCCAATGCTATGATGATGCAGCAGCAGCAACGGATGAACATGAAGGGTGCAACCATCCTATATCTCAACATGTTTGCGGAACATTTAAGCAGCTTCCAGAGTCGTGGCGAAACTCACGATCTCATGTATTGGCAGTCGTTTGTCGATCGATTCTATTCTCCCGGTGGTGTCTTGCGACAGGGTGTGTTCAATCCTCAGGCTGGATCAAAACAGTTTGAAATTGCGACTCCAGCCCTGGCACGATACTATCTGACCCAATTTACGAGTGGAATCCGTCACATTCAGATGGTGGTCGAAGGTGCCCGTGAGCGGGATTCACCCAACGGCGGCCACATAGTGGAGAGTCCTCGAACCTCATTTATCTACTGGTTCGCCAATGATTGCCAGCTGTTCACCAATGGGACGCTGCGCGCGCATTTCGACGTGAACAACAAGATTGAGATGCTTGATATTATTGTTACCAGCCACAATGAATTCATCCCCCGGAGCCAGGTGCAAGCATTGGAGAATGACTTGAAAAACAGCCCGAAAGTCCCCAAGAATGCCAAGCGTGCTCAGAAGGGTGCACAGCAAGTTTCGCCATCGCTACCGGAGTCCATGGTGACTGCCAATGGCGTCCCTACTCCGGTCATGGGCTTTTTGGAGGTGGCCGAGACGATTTCTCAGATGCAAATGCTCTTCCAGTTCTCGCAATCGAACCCCCAGATGTCTCCCCCGAAGCTCTCCGGAATCTTGTCAATACGCTCCAAACACACAATCCTAATGCCGGATTCATACCTGGTCCTATGAACCCAGGAATGCAGCCTGGGCCTAATATGCGCGGTCCAAATATGAATACACCAACGCAGTTTGCGTCCCCTGCTATGGCGCATCTTGGTCTTCCCGGTGTCCAAGGTTCTCCTCACATGGTCGGTTCGGGGCACGCTAGCCCGGCTCAAAGTCAAATGGCTGGTCCTCCGGGGATGCAGCCGCCTATGCAACCTTCTCCTGTGGGTGTGGGCAACAGCCCCAATGTCGGTGGTAACAAACGCCGCCGCGCGAGCACCGTCAAGATGGAGGGTGAGGATGCTGGCGGGAACGAGGTCAATGGTACCGCCCCCGGTTCCGGCAAGGTTAAGCCTAGTCCTCGAGTTCCCAAGCGAGCAAAGGGACAAGCCGCGTGATGTTGATGTTGCATGTTTTTCTCAGTCATTTCTGTTCATCGTGTTAAAGGGGTTTGGCGTACGATTTGGATATCCGGGCGAGGCTATCCCCCCTCGACCCTTTTGCGTTTTTTGGGCAACCACGGCCCATTGAAAGATCTCCTGTTTTCCCATTTTCGGCTTATCTTGACGACGATACTATATTGCCAGTCGATATGAGGGTTCAAATGTTTCCTTCCATGGCGTCCGGCCTCATCAACTGGATCGACTCCGACCCTAATGTTGTACTCTATCTCCTTTCAGCGTTTATTTTGGTTGGCCTCGGGATCTGTCATCATCTCACACTGGTGCATGCTTTGATTATTTTGTTTCTGCTCGGGATTTGACGACTTTGATCTCTACTATAGTTTTTGGTTTGACTATCTTCGCGGTTCGTGTGATAGCGCTATCATTTGTTTTGTTTTCCTTTGATGGTCAGACTTCTTGATATCCGTGTTGGTTGAATGGCGATGGAATTGTCTGGCGTCGGGCTTCTTCCTTGTCTTGATGGAGGGTTTTCCCTTGGGAGCTGAGTCTGTGGTGTGGCTGAGAGGTTTCGGGGGAGTGCCTGATGAATTGCGCTCCGCTTGTACCTCTCCATGTCCTCCACCTTATTTTGACGAATCCACCATATATACTTGTTGCCGTGAAGTCCATCGTAGTTGTCGTTCTTGTAAATGTTCGGCCAGCTCCGCCGGCGTCGGCCATCGGCCAAGATAGTGCGCCCGCTCGGCATTCCAGCGTTATCAATTATCAATAATAACCCCTCGCTCCACTGCCTCTTCTCTTTCTTTTGTCACTCCAGCGGTTGACCCTATAATTAACTACTCTTCGCCAGATCAACAATCGAACACCTAATCAACTACGTAGGTACTATGGCACATTCACACTCCCACGACACCGGCCTAAGCCACTCCCACGACCCCCTCGACGGCCACGGCCACTCGCACGAGATCCTCGACGGGCCGGGCTCATACGCTAACCGCGAGATGCCTCTGATCGAGGGCCGGGACTGGAAGGATCGGGCTTTCACTATTGGAATCGGAGGGTGCGTATATATATTCCATTGCTGCTTGCTCGCGGGGTACAGTACCGTGAACTGATTGATTGATTGATTGATTGATTGCATATCAACAGACCCGTCGGATCGGGCAAGACGGCTCTCATGCTAGCGCTGTGTCTCGCTCTGCGCGATGAGTATAACATCGCAGCTGTTACGAATGACATTTTCACTCGGTACGAAAGAATCGCTTTCATACACCGCCACATCCCACATGATCTGTAGACTAACCCACCGACACAGCGAGGACGCCGAATTCCTAACGCGCCACAAAGCCCTCGCACCCAAGCGCATCCGCGCCATCGAAACAGGCGGGTGCCCGCACGCAGCAGTACGCGAAGACATCAGCGCCAACCTACTCGCGCTACAAACGCTCCAACGCCAATTCGCCACAGACCTCCTCCTCATCGAGTCCGGCGGCGACAACCTAGCGGCCAACTACTCGCGCGAGCTCGCCGATTTCATCATCTATGTCATCGACGTAGCGGGCGGCGACAAGGTGCCCCGGAAGGGCGGGCCGGGCATTACGGGGTCGGACTTGTTGGTTGTTAACAAGATTGATCTTGCGCAGGCGGTTGGGGCCGATCTGGGGGTTATGGAGCGTGATGCGGGTAAGATGCGTGAGGGGGGGCCGACTGTTTTTGCGGTGGTTAAGGAGGGGAAGGGCCTGGAGCATATTGTCAATTTGATACTCAGTGCATGGAAGGGAAGTGGTGCTTATGAGGAGAGTTTGAAGAGGTGGAAGGCTGGTGCGGTGAGAGGGTCGGGGAGTGTGGATGAGTAGATGATAGAGGTATTTAGGTTATTTCTTATTGCATGGATATGTTCTAGGAGGTGGTACATGATACACAAATGATGAACAAAAGGGTTGCTTTTCCGAATCCTCACACGCACCAAAAAACGCCAGGAATGCAAGTATATATATCGAGATGCAAGTCATGAGCGAGACAGCTAGGGACCCTTCTTGGCAAACCGAGCGAGAGCCGGACCCAGATCCTCGCGCTCTTGCTTCTGCTTCTCCCTGTAGCGCGCGGCATGCTCCTTGCGCAGGGCCTCGGCCTTGAGCCGCTTCTCGTCGATGACGTTGCCGCGGCCCTTCTTGCGCAGATACTTGCGCAGCGCACTGTTGCGGCCGCGGCCACGGTTCTTGAGCTTCTCGATTGGGTCCTCCGGCCGCTGGTCTGGGTTGCGCTGCTCGCGCCGCTTCTGGTCGCTGACGGTGTCGAGTTTGCCGATAATGCTGGGGTCTAGAGAGATCATCTCCGGCTGCAGTTTCGTGAGCAGCGAGTGCACCTCATGCTCTTGGCGCTGCTTGACGTTCTCGTATGGGTTCGCTTCCAGCGAGTCGAAGTTGGGCTCGCCAGCGCCGGGGACGATCAGACTGGCGAATCCTTGGTCGTGTGCCACTCCCAGCACGTCTTCGTAGGGGCACCAGCGCAGGTTCTCGATGCGTTGGCCATCGCCACCCCAAGCCATGTATGGGCTCTGCACTTTGCCTTGGTCGGCCTGCGCCGCATCGAAAAGCCCGCGCCACACGCTCACCTGCGTGCCCCAACCCACTGCCGTCAGACCGCGGTCACTGATTGAAATGGATGCACCGGGCTGGTAGCACGAATACGAATGCACCTCCCGGTACATTCGGATATCCCAGACACTCATCTTCTGATCCTGACCGGTCGAGACCATATACCGGCCCTGGCGATCGATTGCCATTGACCGAACGGGGCCACGGTGCACGAGCGCCTTGACAAGGGCAGTCTGCGAATTAGGTGACCACAGTGTCACTGTTCCGTTTTGATGTCCGACATGCAGGATAGCATTCCACGGGTTCTGGCAGAGGGAGGTCGGGCGGCCTAACCGGGTGGGCAGCTCGGCGACGGTCTGGCCGATCGAGGTATCGGTGTATTTGAGATAGCCGCTCATTTGCTATGGGAAACAGTTAGCATCGATTCATGACAGCAAAAAAAGTAAAACCTACCGCACTGGCAAGCAGAAAGTGGTACGGGAGAAATTCCAAGAAAAGCGGCTCAACATGCTTGTTGAGACAGTGCAACTCGACTCCATTGTGGTCATAGATGTAGACGTATTTCTTCTGTGCCACGGCGAAGAACTGGTTATTGTGCAGCCACCGTGCATCCCGCACCGTTTCGTTCAGTTGGAGCTCGCAGCCCAGTTTGCCGTCCCGCCAGTCCATCGTCGCAACATGGCCCTTCCGCCCGGCGAGTAGCAGGTTGCGACCGTTTCGAGTATAGTCCATCCGGTAGGGGCCCAAATCGTTCAGCCTCAGCTCGAAACCCTTCTTCGCGGTTTCCAATCCCACGCTGTCGCGGATCTCATCCTGCCGCACATTGTATGTCCGCTCCAACTCACCCTCAGGCTCGAGGAACCCAGGGTCATGCTCGAGCAGGATCTCTGCATCTTTGGCTTTGAGAACGGCGTCTTTGTGCTTGGATTCGACGGCCTTGAGGTTGGCGCGCAGCTTCTTTCCTTTTGCGCTCTTGGCTGTGATGCCTTTGCCTCGTCCGTACTTGCTCTGCGCTTCGGATAGTCTCTGTTTAGCCTCGCGGTCTTCAGCCGTCGCCAGGGCCTTGGACGAGTCGGCCATTTTGAGCAGTGGTGAAGAGAGTGAATGGATGAGAATTAGTTAAAAGAGAAAAATTGTGCCAAGATCTGCTCTCACCGCTCGCTTATCCTCCACCGAAATTTTGTTTTCTTATCGATCACCTTTTTTTCCCTCTCTTGTTTTTTTCGCTGACACCCACAATAATAATACTTCCTACTCTATTTCTCTTCTGTTACTCACAGAGACCAGTACCAAGCTGGACTCTCTCCCATTCCGCTTCAAGGGGTCTAGCGGTGCCAACATGGCGCCCACCCAGACGGTGCACCACCACCGCTCAACCACCAAGGCCTCCCACAAGCCCTACAAGTCCAAACATGCCTCCAAGAGTGCTTTGAAGGACAAGGCAAAGGGTGAGACACGGATAACTGTCTTTGTTTAATTCAATTTCAACCCTAACATAATACAGGCAAAGTCGAATACGCAGAGCGGGGCACTCGCAAAACCCCCCCACCAGCAGCTCATGTCGAAGCTCGATCGCCGCAACCAGGCCCGCCAGAAGCAGCAGGTGAAGCACCAGGAGAAGGCCCAAGCAACCAGTATTTTCACCGGCCAGAATGGTGCTCCCCGCCATGTCGCCATCGTGCCGCTGTCCGCCGATATCGATGCCGCCGCCGCCATTCGCGCGATCAACGAGAGTGTTGATGTGTCCGCTGATGTCTCGCCGGATGAACCAACCCGTGTGCGAATCGATCGATTTCGACAGAGTGTGTTGTACATTCCGGCCAAATACGATTTGCTGAGCGCTTTGGATGTTTGCCGTTTGGCTGATTTCGTTGTTTTGGTGCTCTCGTCTGAGGTCGAGGTCGACGAGGAGGGAGAACTGTTGCTGCGGTCAATTGAGAGCCAAGGTATCTCCAACGTTATGACGGTGGTACAGGGACTCGACAAAGTGAACCCGCCGAAAAAGAGGCCGCAGGTGGCGTCGTCTTTGAAGTCCTTCGTCAATCACTTCTTCCCGTCCGTCGAGAAAGTCATGTCGCTTGATGCGAGACAAGAATGCTCGAATATCATTCGCTCTCTCTGCACCGCAACTCCCAAGGGCATCCGCTGGCGTGATGAGCGTAGCTGGATGTTCATCGAACAAGTCCAGTGGCCAGAAACGAACTCGGAGACGGTGGATGTTGTTGTGACAGGGATTGTCCGTGGCAAGGGTCTGAAGGCAGACCGTATTGCGCATATCCCCGGCTGGGGCGATTTGCAGATCGAATCTATTACGGCGGCACCCCTACCAAGCACAAAGAACAAGCGGGAAGATTCCATGGCTGTCGACGGCAACGAGACTACACAGGTCCTGGATAG